TTGCACAGCCGCCAACGTCAGGGTCGGTCGAGTTTTGTTGCGCTTACGAGCGCAAACTTTCGCCATACCATTTTCCGCCCCTCGCGTGCCACGTCCGTAGTTTACATCGCACTGCCCGAGGGCAAGTCTGGGCCCCCTTTGCTTCTACGAGGGCCCCCTGGGTCGACAACACCAGGAACCCAGGTTGCGCGTCCTCGCACGAGCTCGAGGTGCTGGCCAGGGCAGTTAACATTCAGATGGTAAAAGGGTGCGCGTGGCTCCGCATGTGGGTCTTGTCTTGGTCGGACACGGAGTATTCCAAGTGCCTGGCTGCAGGGGACTAGGACAGCCCGTTCTGTGGCCCTGTTTGGGCTATATGGGGGGGCCTTCTCGGGGCTCTCTTCAGCTGGTATTCCTTGAGAGCCAATAACATGTATTTGCCATACGTATGGTTTGTCAATGTGTTTTGTTTATTTGGGTTGCTTGGACACGTTTTGCGTGTTTCTTGGGGACTTCTCAAGGGCAATGGTCGTTCTTGCGAAACACACTTGGGTCTTTGGGGGGCTTTCGCACACATTGGCCATTTCGAGTTGTCTGTGGTTGCGTTGGAGCCGCCTAGAGGGTGAGGCACGCTGGACCGCCAGGGATGGAGGGGTTCGACCTTGAAAAACTACAGAAGTTCGTTTGACAATTCGAAGCCGTAGCTCCCGGTCACAATCCTGACATCCTTAACCTTCGCCGAAACACCCGAGCATCAGCATGTAGTTGAGTCAAGGGCTATGGCATAAACCCATCATCAACAGCACTTTCCTGGATGTGTCCGCCAGCCCTTCCCTACTACGATGTCGTGTCCCGCCTTCAGCAGTCCCTCCTGGGGAAGCGGGCCCTCTTCCATTGTGATGCCCATTTCTGAAGTTGGGATGTCGCAGATGGGGGGCAGCTTGGACCATCTTTGAACTGTGTTCAGAACTGTTTATGATTCAAGTGTGGGTGTGTGTATGTGTTGCGGTTCGAACTGTCGACATCGCAATGCCCTCGGTAGCATGGTGGCTCAATGCGTACTGGCTCAAGCCAATGTGATCAGGTTGCCAGCGCCACCGATGCCCTGTCGTCGGCTTTCGCGCCCGATGCCGAGGGCAAGCAGGATGATCTCAGTCGTTTGCGTGGCATTGAGTGTGTGTGGCTTCGGGCAGCGACGAACGTTCCTTCCTGCGCCTGGGAGCCATGCGACAAAGTCTCCCGCTGCAAGTGGACTGCCATCTCGAAGGAAATGTCTGCACGTGTGCGCAGCGGCTGGACTGTCAACGCTTTCTTCCGTTCCGCCATCGATCGCCTCTGGTCTCAAATACGCCACCTCCCCATCGGGACTCCAATGGGCCGACTCGAAGATGGGCGCAGGTCCACCACCACAGACGGGCACAAAAGTGTCCATAGACTACATCATGTCCAGCACGGGAGCAGCCCGGGGAGCAAAGATCTATAGCACTACAGATCTGAGTTTGCCTTACACGTGGACGTTAGGTGATGGATCGACCATTAAGGGTTTGGAGCTGGCAGTTGCTGGCGGCGATGGTGTGCCACCGATGTTGCCTGGGGGAGTGCGGCGTGTCATCATATCTTCTTCCAAGCTTGGCTATGTTGCCCGCGACTGCGAGGAAGGACGCGGGCCTGGTCCGATTCCACCCCCAAGCCAAGCTATGGGGAATTACCAAAGATTCAAAAATAGTTTTTGCAGCTCGATTCGTTCGTCTCAGCCAGAGCTTGTGTTGGACGTGAAGCTCCTCGGTTGACTTGACGCAGTTTAGCCAGGAGGCGAAGATACGAAACTTCCGATTGGAGTGAACCATTCGTGGGGTGATCATTGATGGAACATTTCATTGTTTATCCAGCTGCGTGGAGCATGTTTGTCTGGACTCTAGCCGCCGACGAGATGTGCCAGAGGGTGAGCCAAATGACCATTGGCATTTGGATTCGAACTGTCTTCGAGATGCTGGGATCAAAACACATCGCCTCTGGTGCGAACCAGCTCCAACCTTCCGCAATTCGGGGAACCATTTCCAACCGTCTGGCCCCCGCTTCTTCACAGGGCACAATTCCAGATGTCCGACGACGTGACTGTTGCACAGCGTGGCTCCCCAAAAGTCTGGACACCTTCCCGAGGACCGTCTCCTTACGGGACGTCCTCTGACGGTCCCCGGGGCCGGTGGAGGCCCCCGGAAGCCGACAGCGACCCAAAACCTCTGGTCATGATGGCTTCGCGGCGCGAGGATCAAAACAGTTTGGGCACGCGCGTGCACGACTGGGCGCGCACGCGCGACGGGCCCCGCCGGGGGGGGTCGGCCGGCGACGGGGCAGGCTGCGGGGCCGTCGCCGCCCGCACGTACAAGGAGGTGGCCGCGAGCGCGGCCGAGACGGGGACTCGCGCCGCCGGGCTGCCCTCGTCAGCTCGCGCGCTCGCATCCCTCAGGGGCAGCGCGCTAGGGTCGGGCCGGGCGAAAGGGGGGGATTGGGAAAGGGGGGGTTACGAAATTTGCTGCGCGCAGCTGGTTTCGGCCTCACCGAAGGGCCAGTTCCTCGATACATAGCCGCCTCCGGCGCCGGGAGGCGCCGGGAAAATCAGCTACGTGAGCTGATTCTCAACCCCCCCCTTTGCTATCCCCCCCTTTCGCCCGACCCGACTCAGGGGCAGCGCGCTAGGAGGGTGAGCTTCCAGCACAAGAAGTGCTTGCTCCAGAAAGGCCGGGTATGGCCAGGAACCAAGTTCACGGGAGCCGGTTGGTGAGGGGGCCCCGAACCCCAAAACACGGGCTGGAAGCATCAAACCAGGTCTGCCGCAGTTGGTGTTTTTTGGGTGACGGCAGTTCCTGTTAGTGGAAAAGGGCGGGAGGGGGGGGGGCGCGCCCTGGTACCATCACGAAACCAGGCCCCACTAAACCCACCCTCCCAGCGCCCGAAAAGGTTTTGAGGCGCGGAGTGGTTTCCATCAGCTGCGCCTCGTCGAGGGCGTGGTGGTGTCCGAATCGCCCCGGACCGCTGCCAGAAAGCCGAGCCATGATCCGAGAAAACCGCCGGGCCATGTTATGGGTGGGTCGGCTCGGGGGGGATATGCATCGACGGCCAGTCCCCCGGGTCTTCGCCGACAGGGACCCGATGGCCCGCCCTCTCCAGGTGCCGGTATCGGGTGCCTATCGTCGGGGGCGGAAAAGAGGGGGGTGATGACTAGGGGGGGGGGATATCATGGCGGGGCCATGATATTTCCCCAGATCTATGGCGCCCCTTCTTATTTCATTACGTCCCTGGCCCCCCCGCTGGGCCGCGCACATGCCGCCGGTCATGATTTGCGCCCCCCCCTCTTTGACGCCCCCCTCTTTGCCGCCCCCGATATCGCCGATGCGTCAGCCATGGATTGCCGATTCCAGGTGGATGTTCCCGCCCCCTGAGCCGGCCCCTCGATCCCGGTGTGCCCGCCAGGAAGACCCGCGCTCGGTTGGCATGAGTCGGGCACGGGGGTTGGAGTGAGCAGGGGCGGGCCTGTTTAGAAGTCTCGGAAACCTCTAGGCCCTCTCAGGAGTTTTCAGAGCCTCCCCAGCAGAGACAGAAGTTGCTTCAGAAGGCCGGGAGGGCTTCTGAGAAGTCCCGCCGCCTCTGAGAAGGCCTTCGCACTTTCTCACTTCTCACTTCCGCCCCCCTCGCCCTTTGCCGAATGAAGGAGCAGGGTCCTCGAGGAAGTGGGTCCTGGAGGTGTGTCGCCGTTTTCGGGCTCCTGGGGCCCTCCCTGGGGCCCTCGGGAGCGCCAAAAACTGCACCCCGGCGCCCCAGCGGCAGAAGGCCCTGACATGTGGAAGCAAAGAGGAGAGAGCATGATGCTGCGATGCAAATGCGGAAGGCCACACCGTAATTTGACCAGATTCGACCGGGAACGAGGGGGAGGAGTGAGAATCAAGGGAGGGAAAACCACCCAGACCCGCCAATTTGCGTTTACCAAACTGCCCTGGGCGTGTTACTCTTTCAGCCCTGCCCTGTTCGATTCCTTCTGTGGGTGCGTTTGTTAAACGGCTTCGCGTGCCAGAGTGATCATCATGGGATTATGGGGGTGGATGTTCTGCCCTCTACAGAAGGAGAAGGCCGCCTCAGAAGGCGGATGGGCTTCTCAGAAGCCATCCGGTCTTCTGAGAAGTTTCCTGCGAAGGCTAAGAGGACACCTCAGAAGGCCGGTGGAGTTCCGAGCATTCTGAGAAGGCCCGCCCCTTCTCACTTGAACACCCGGGCTCGCCGCCGACAGATGGGAGATCATGCGGGAGACCACAAGAAGCGAGAGTCTGGATTCGAAGGGAGTCACACGTGCCCTGATGAGATAGGTAGGGCCCTCAAGCTGCCCAACCAGGGAGCACACAACGTCGGGGTGTCCGATGTCGCCGCGCGGTCTGTCCCCTCACCGCCCTGGGGCCCCCAAGAAAGATTGGTCCCGGGGGAGGGGTGCAAGCCCCTGGGGCCTCCTCCTCCTCCTCCTCCTCCTCCTCCTCCTCCTCCTCCTCCTCCTCCTCCTCCTCCACGCTGTGAAAAGTCCACGTCGCTGGAACAATCTTCGGGAGGCACACTGCGGGGAGAGCTGGGCGGCGGCGGTGTCCCCAGTCCAGACCACGGCGCGCCCCTGCCCGGGGCACCTGACGGCGTGACGATCGGACGAGGAGAGATGTGCACATGCACCGATCCTGGGCCAAGGATGGACCAGACCAGGGTCGGTGCTTGTGCATACTCCTCTTTTCTAAGAAACAGGTCAAGACCAGAGCTCCCAACCCTTGTCTGTTTTTCTGGCGCGCGGGTCCAGCAGGATCGGCCCGTGAGTGCCCTGGGGGCCCAGGTCGGGGCCGAAACGCCCGTGGCGTTTCTCTTGCATGACGCCCAGATGTCAGGGAAGGTCTTGGCGTAGGCCGAGGACCGTCCAGTCCACCCGCGCGCAAGCCATGTCGGCCCGAACAACCCCTCGGCCAGATGTCGCCCAAGGCGACCCCTCCAGCGGCATGCCCGACGACGCGGGTTCTCGATGGACTGTCGCCGCGGCAGCGGCTGCCGCTGTGAACACGGGCAAAGTCCAGGAGCGCTTCGGGGAAGGGTGAGGAAGCGACGGAGGCGGGCGATGGAGGAGGAATGAGAAGAGGGAGGAGATTGCAGGGAGAGGGAGGGAGACAGAGAGGCTCACTGCCCGTAGAGGGATGGGAGCGGGAGAGGGGATGAAGCCAAGCTAGGAGCGCTCGCGCCACATCTGATATTCTACCCCTCCCTCCCGTTCCTTCCCATTGCAATGACTGTTCTCGACACGTATCCGCCAACGGGTGTCATAGCGGACCTGGGACACCCAAAAGGACACCACCGTGTTACGCGCAAGATGATAAGAGAGGAGAAGGATGAGGAAGGAGGAGGACGAGGAGGAACAGCAGAAGCAGGGGAGTTGGAGGAGCGACTTCGAGGGAGAGAGGACAGTAGTCTTCATATGGTGTAGTTGAAGAAAGGGAGAGGCGAGGGATGAAGAGGGGGAGAGAGGCAGGGAAGGGGAAGGGAGGGGAATCGGGAGGGAGGGGAAGGAAGGGGCAAAAAGATCCAGCGGTTGCGGCACAGAGTGGGAGCGGGAGAAAAAGGAGCAGGAGAAGCCGCAGCAATGGTAGGGGGCGGAATGAGGCAGGAGGAGAAGGAGTGGGAGAAGGAGGAGAAGAAGGTGGAGGAGGAGGAGTGGACAGAGGAGGCGCCAGGAGGCAGGGGGGCTGCAGGAGCAGGACGAGGAGCACCGGCGGCGGGAACTCCGCGCCCCCCACTCGACGAGCCCCGGGCCACGCGCCCTCGGCGGCCAGCCCCAGCGACACAGCGCCCAGGAAGCGCCCCCCCCACGCGTACGACCCCAAATCAACCCGCGTCGCGGTCAACCCCTCAGGGGTTGACCGCGACCATGAGTCTCAAATGTTGAATTTTAAGCTATGTTGAAAATTTCAAGATGATTCAATCGGAGGTATTGACTACGGGACGAGAGCCGGACCCCCCCCCCTCCCCCTCTTGCGCCAAATGACGAAACCCAGAATACATAAACGCTCACCTGCGCGCCGCAGACACTCCAGCCCAGACGTCCGACTTCGTGTTGCTGTTCACCGCCCTGCTCCCCAAGAGGGCCGCATATGGCCCTCCCGGGCCGCTCCTTGACGGCCCGGGAGGGCGACGGTGCCCCGAAAAAGCCTCCGGCCACGATGGCTTCGCGGCGCG